TTCCTGCTTTGAGTCCTGTAGGACAGGCTATGAGAACAACCTGTCAGAAATTACTGTGGCATTACCCAGTTTTATGAAGAGTAAAAGGCAAGCCAAGTTAACAGTTGTTACGCTTGAAAAATATTAAGATAGTCAATAAAAAGAGGAATTTGAATTTTGGATGGTCCCTTATTTTAAGTGCGTAATTTCACCCACTTCTTGTTGAATATCACTTTTGTTGTCCATTTTTGTGGAGCCATATCTTTTTTTAGCTATGCTTTTGGTAGGACTGACACCTTTTATATCATGATATTAATGGATATAATGTTTTTATCAAGAGCAGCAATTAGTACAGGTCAGATCTGTATTAACAGCTGGCTTTTCACTGTTTGCTAAGCTTTCTGTCTTTATCAATTAGTGTCCCTACTAGAATGGTAACCATAGAGTTGATGGCAGTTCTGGGATAGCTGAACAGAAGTGAAGTAGGACCCCTACAAATTCATTGCTAGAGAAGGATCTTGTGGAGATGGGACAATTATCTGTTGCGTTTACTCATGAAACATCCACCACAGTCATTGCACAAGTCAATAGGACTTGAGAGCGTTCCCAGTCGGAAAGCCTGACACAGCATTTAGAGCAGTATACATCACTACTTGGGACACCTCCATCCCAGCTGTGCCTCTGGACTGAAATCCTGCTCATGCTACTCTCTCAAACCTTGATCTTGCAAAGCCTTAGGCATGTGCTTAGCTTAATACACTGCAACCAGTGTTATTGAAATGGGTAGTGTAAGTCTTCGCAGGATTGGGACCTAAAGTATATTAAATTATCTAACCGTTATAGGGCATTTATTATACACAAGTTCCAAGTGTGTGGGGTGGCATTTATACATGTGCTCCGGGGCAGGGGCACAGGGAGCATCTCATGTATTAGCGTCCCTGCGCTGAAAAATGGCAGTGGGGGCCCTTTAACTAAAGCTCGTCGATACATGAGATGCTGGAGTCTGCCGTAATTACAGTGCATCGGAGCAGCCTCCCTGCTCGTGTACAGGTGCCGTATACGTTGGTTTCCATTTCTGAAACACTAGAACAGTAGTTAACCCTCACAATGGTAAGTAGTGCAGAAAAAGGAAGGTGAGCACACAACATGCATTACTTAAGAGAACTGATGACTGGAAGGCCCCTGGTAGATGGTACACATCTCGCGTAGCTACCTGGCGACATGTTAATGCAAAAGGAACAAGCCACAAAGTTAGTACACAAAACATGGGCAGTAACTTTGTGGCTGGCTCCCATCACACCTTAAATGGCGCACGTGGCCAGGCTGGAACAAAGGGACACAACTCCCCAGGCCATGAGTTTGCACCACCACTTACTCAGCTCTCCTACTTGGTGCGGTGTAGTTCAGGGTTTCAGAAACCCACTGGTTTTCTTTTCTAAACCAAGTTTACAGTTTGTTAAGAACACATATGCAGGCACCAGAACATGGTGTTGCTGAAGAGTCTCTGCTTGTGGGCTGGAACGTGAATTAAATGTGCAGCAGGGATAGATAAAGGCTTGTTTCTGGGAATGTGCAGCAGAATGTCAGTGGGAGTTTATCAACTGCAGACACACAGAGTGGGAAGAGAACATCTGAGCCTTTTTTTTTTCTTGCACCTAAATCCACAAACAATTTAGCATTTCTCAAAGTGGTGCCTATCTAGGAAGTGTCCTTATTGAAGAGTGATAGGCCAGCTTCAGAACCCAAGCTTGAGGGCTCAGGCACTTGGCTGCTCTCCAAAACCTCTTGCTCTTAAAGGAAAAACTTCTGTCTGCTCATTCGTTCAGATATGCACACCTCAGACAGAAGGCAACATCCTTGCATACCTCAAAGGATAACCTCATGTTAGACAACTGGATTCTGAAATTCCTCGTAGGTAGTGTAAACTCACGTTTGAAATAACTTTTAAGGAGCAAGCCTGAGATCTACTAAAGCACTTCAGCCTTAAAGACATGAATTGTGCTTGTTTTTGGGTAATGGAGAAGATGCCAAGAGAGCATCAAGGCACTTTTTACTGAAGTCCCCATTGAATAATGTGGAAAGGGAGGGAGAGTTGGAGTCAGTTTACTGTGAACTTCACAAACAACATTTGGATGCTTTGAAAGATTTGCAAAATCACTTTTAGGGTGCAGACTTCCTTTTCTTGTAGTTTACAATGCTTTTTAGTCATAGAACATCACGTGTACAAGAGCCTGAAGTGACTCCATTACAGGGATATTTTCCTAGCTAAAGGGGAGGCTGCAGTCAGGTAAAACTGTCTCCTTCCCAGTAGTTAGACTGGCACTCTGTGAATAGGTTATCTCTGCATAATGATATGGGTTACCCACAGGGTCCGAACCTGGGATCTTTAAAACTGAAAATCTACAACTTCAGACAAGAAAGAACACACCGTTTTATCAGTGAGGACAATTAATGACTGAATGCAGTAGATTCTTCCTCACTTGCAACCCTTACATCAGAATGGACAGCTTCCTAAAAGATATACCCGGATTCAGAATAGGAAGAATTTGATGAAATTATCTGGGCTGTGTTAAGCAGGAATTCAGGCTAGATGATCACATTGGTACTTTCTGAATCTGTGGCACAAGTGTCTTCCGTGACAACTAAAAGACACAATCTATTAGCTGGAAGTCATGGCAGGCAGCTGTCCTCCATGGATCAGTCAGTAGAGGGAAAACACGTAACACTGCACAAGTTTGCTATACATGGTAATTATATTGTTTCTATGGTTTCTTTTCTTTTCTGGTGCATTTTTCACCCAGCTGCTTTTTTTTCCTGGATGTCGTCTCTACTCTTTTATCGTGTTTTATTTTGTTGGAGCACATGCCCAACAGCACTCATACACTCTCGGCGAACTTTAAACCCGCAATGTTCAAAATAGACAAAAGGCCCACAATGTTCAAAATCCGTCTCTAGTCACAAACATTAACAGCAGTGTTTCACGGTAGGACAGGAATAAAGGACAGACAATGAAAAACTGAAGTCAGATTGAGAAGCAGGCCAGTTGCAGAAGTGAGGATTGTTTTAAAAAAGCTCTGCAACATCAGTGACAATCTAAGACATCCCTCAAAATACACTTGAAACAAGGTTCAAGAACAAAAGCAGGAGTTACATGTAAGAAGTGCCTCGGGAAGGCTAACATGTTTATCGACAAGCTCAGCCAGATATTCGTGTTTGTAGGAGAATCAAGAAAAAATGAAATTCTATCTAAAGGACACTTATTAAGAAAGTTCCTCACGATGGCTTGAGTGCTTTAACCTTCCCTATCAGCTGAAGCGGGAGGTTTAATATTGTATCAGGGCTGTTTTCCCCAACACATTCTTCCTTTTAATCTTCCACCTCAAGATGTGACTCTTTTCTCATCAAATAAGCTCTAATGATGGCTGTATCTGGTCTTGTCTTTGAGGCCTTTGCAACTTATCCCTAGCTGTATCTGGTCTTGTCTTTGAGGCCTTTGCTCCTTATCCCTCCCCTAACCAAAAACTTGACAGCCGTTAGCGTTAGGTCACTGGTCTGTTGAAACCAGTGCGAGCTATAGTGACTTATACTGTCCCATTGCTCCCTTATAACTCCCTTGTCTGCCAGCCTCCATCTGTTGTCTGTTTCTGCATTACTTAGATTGCGAAGTCTTTGGAGTAAGGACCATCTTTTTTTGTTCTGTGTTTATACAACACTTAGCACAATAGGGTCCAGGCCTGTGACTGAGGCTACTCTTTTCTCCTAGACCTCAAGCACTAGGAATGAATGCAGCCCTCTGGCATATATCTTCAAACAACTGTGGGCTTGGATGACATTTGAACAAAGCTTTCAATACATTAGTAACAGCTCACAGTTTTCCTTTCTAGAACACTTTTCCACTGAAATGGTATCTTATCCGGTAATGCAATATATACATTGTGCTGTTTTTTTCCCCAGGTACAGCAAGAGGCTCAAACTACATCACCATCACTCCAGTCTGAAGAACTGAAGCCAGAGGAAGCCTCCTTAATGTATCTCTGCCATCTATGGACTGCAGACAGGGTTGAAACAGGGACTGCAGAGATGCCCCTGGCAGCTATGGTAATGTAACCTGCGGGCTTATACTGCAGCGTGTTATTTTTTAGTACAAATAAAGGGAAAAGCAGTGGGAAGGAGGCACGTATTTTAGGTGAGTCCTCTGTGTCTCTACACAGTCTGAGTGCAAGGGCACATTAACATAATTAGAAGAATTATGAACACTGCAGAAGTGTGTGGCACTTACCAGAAATGCTCCAGAAGTGGGGAACAGTTTATAAATGGGCTGTTGGAGACAATCCTCTGGACACAGCGGCTAAATGATGAAAGACTCAAATTTGTCTGCTGTGAGAGCTGTGCCCCTGAGCTTGTGCCATTTTGGATACAGCTTCCCTCTCTTGCTGGATGGTGGGGAGATGGGCTGATTACTGTTGGCCCAGAGGAGCTTTGGGCTATGAAGGGATTTTGATGAAGTTGCCGGGGAGATTTAAGAGCACTGATCTCATCTGCTCCATGTAGTCTGTGGGACACGTGTGGGCTTGTGGTGCTTGTGACTTTCCAGCAAGTGTAAATAGCTCATCTGATTGTAGAACAACATTGCTATGCCAGCAGGTTGGAGTAGGTCCTCCATTTCCCATAGCATTCCTTCAAAATCACCTGGCATGATGTTAAGCATGTCCCACCCCATCCACACTGATAGCTAAGTCACATTTAACGTCATATTAATTAAATGTGGTTCTTCAGGGTCAGGTGCTAGCTTGGATTAATTTAAACAAAGACAAACCAGGTGCTGGCCAACTCCATGGGCCTCTGTTTTATTGCTGGCAGCTCTTCCTTGAGCAGCACTTTGCTCCAAAGTGCTTGTGCACAGACATGCAGAATGGGATGCTGAGCCATGAACAGTGACCAGACGCTCCACAACAGCTCCTGTGAACCCAGCCTTGGCACGGAGACAGCAAACTGCTTAAGCATATCCCTGCCTCCTAGCATGCAAGTTATCCTGTTAAGGTTAATAAGCCAACACATGTGTTTAAGGTTAAATATGTGCCTAGGTGCTATGCAGCAGAGCCCCGCAGGATGTGGAAGGAGTAAGCTTCCATGTGATAGCCAAAAAGCTAGGAGCAACATGGAAAAGGATGGTTGTCCATGACATCCATTCACAGGAGGTCCAGCTGGAGCTGGTGGTACTGCCCTTCATGTTTATGAGTACAAAAATTAATTAAATAATCAAAATAAATAATGAGAGCCTTGAGAAAGTCACTGGCTCAACCCTCCTCTGCGCCAGTGAACTTAGCTGTGAAAATTGAGTAAAAAGCAGGGCCTTACTGAAAGCTAGGTGCTGAGTCTGAGCACAGCACTCCAGGAGAAATAGAAATTACCACATCAATAACAAAGTTTGAAGAAATAAGATCCAAGCAGCAGTGTGGAAATCGTGGACTGAAGCCGTGAGTACTGTCAATAAATGGTTTATATTGTGTATGCTGCGTGGGCTTCACTCTAAGCTGTAATGAAATATCAGATCAGAAGTGTGGCAGGGGCCTGATCCTGCAGTTCGTATATAGGCAAGCAAGCTGACCCCTGAAAACAGCCTTCCCATGGAAAATAATATGAGCTGTGTCTGATTACAGACTGCAGGACTGGGATCTAATATTAATAGTCTGTAGTCTGCTTATTGAGCTAAGCATTAACTATGACCTTTTGGACCTTCTTTGTCATTCATGCTTGATATAAACTAAAACTACCCAAAAAGTGGGAGATTTTAAAAATCCCATACATTCTGCCTGTAATTATCCTGGTGGCATGATGTGACCTGCTGATTCAATCCTTATTGAGATGAATATGAGCAGTTAGTAGAGCAAGGTTCAGTGAATACATTAAATCCTGAGGCCCCAATCAATCACCCATTTCCTTCTGGCAGCGTCTGGGATGTCTGCAAAGTGGGAAGTATCATAGGTGATTACAGGAGCCTTCAATGCAACAAGTCACAGAGCACTTGCATATAAAGGCTGTGTTAACAACCCCTGGCACTTACAAAGATTGAATTCTGTTTTTCACTGTTGTCGGGAAGCAAAAGAAATTAGCAGAGTGTTTCATTTTAGCAGACTGTTCTCTGCAGTGGCAGTAGGTTTGCTAGGCAATGGGCATTTTGCTGTTGCTGGCTTGGGTCGCTTTGCTTAGTAGCTAACAAAAAGGGACCCCATCCTGCCCGGCACTGTTGCATCCCACTGCACCCATTCATTGGCAGTAGGTGAGGGTGCTGTGCCCAGGACATTTCTGAAGGCAGACAGGGAGCAGCTGTTGTCCTTGCAAAGAGAGAGTAAACCATGGTTGTTGGGAGGGAGCAGAAGGGAAAGGGCTGCTCGTCGTAATGTAAATTGAAAATTCATGCTGCCACCTGGCCTAGAGAATAGGTCACCCAGCTCCTGTAGCAACTCTGCCTCCCCAGTGTCTGCTCTGTCATGTAGAAAGAGTTTTCTTGAAACAAAAAGACATTGGTTCCACCAGTTTTGCTGCACTGTCATGACTGATGCTGCAGAGGAGCACACAATAACCTATGAACGACAGTCCATTAGCTGCAGTCCTTCCCATCTCGCTTCCACCATCTCATTCATTTTTCATGTTCTCTTCTTCCTCTGCAGTTGGCTGAGTATCCAGAGTTTGCACAGTCTCTCTCCCTCACACCGCTGTCCTTTCTATACCAGTGCCTGAAATTGTACTAACACTATAATCTGTGAACACAGTGAGCATCCTTGGGTCCCGTGAAACCCCAAAATATTGTTGGAGAAGCTTGGGGCTACATCCATGGACATAGATAGATCTCTATAAGGTCTGTCAGTCTCTTTGTCACCATTTCTGACAGTGGAAAGCTGATGAATCCAACAAAGCTAGGAAAGGATCCAGTGGCTGGATGCTGGAGAAATAGGAAAAAAAGCACAACTTTTTTTTATAACAGGGACAGTAGTTAAGCATTGGGCAGCCTTATCCTAGGGATGTGATGCTTTGACAGTGTACATCACGACCTGTTTTACTCATATCTTTCTAAAAGACAGGCTGTGGGTTCAGTAGAAGTTATGAGCTTATTACAAGAGCTGCTGGATAAAACTCCCCAGTATAAGTGCCTGGCTGCACAAATCAGCTTGTGGGGTTTAGAGGCCAAACTCCCTTTGGTGTAAACAGGTGCAACTCTGTACAAGCCCCTTACAGAAGAGCAGAATTTGACCTCTTGTCTTTTGTGATTCCACTAACTGGGTAGAGTTTGATTTGAGCCATGGGATTTGAACTCACAATCTCTTGGCTTGGCTCTTAGTGTACCTTCACCTAAGCTAACAGGAATTTTGATAACTACACAAGCAGTTCTTTCCTATATTTAGGAGGAAAATAATCCCTACTTCCTGTATTTGGTGAGTAGGAGAAAGATGCTCCAAAGCACAATACTTTCTTTAGCAGTATTTACAGTTTTTAAGGTGATTGCTCTCTCAGTTTTCAGAGAGTATAATTTATAGAGCTGCAATGAAGCTGCCTTTTTTTCCTGGGTAACATTTTATCTGACTGTACTATGCTAATATGATCAGTCATGTGCTGTGCATTTCGTCCCCATCTCTTCTTATCCATAAATTATTCAAGACTATTATAGCTAAAATTGTGAGTGGATGATTTCTTTTCTTCTGAAATGCCAAGAAGAGTTTGGCTTTGAAGTGAGGTGAAGACACCTGTTATGAGATGATACGCTATCTCACTGAGGAATCGGGGACCTGTTGCAAGACAGAAGGCTATCCCCTAGTGGAACTGGGAGTCATGGATAGAAAAAGCTTTTCGTAATTGAAAAAAAAAGATTAAGAGGGGAAATTAATATAAGATACCAACATCTACATCAGCCCATTTCAAATATACTAAAATGAGTATGAAAGTTTAGAGACGAGCCAGGCTTCTTCCTCTTGCTGTGTAACCCTCAGCCCTATTGACGTGCTACCATGCAGACCCAGCCCAAACTGGACCCAGACTGCTGTCCTTCAAGTCATTGTGGAGGAGGAATTTACCCCCGGTATCTGGCCAAACGGAGGTAAAAGTCTTGTTTGGCCAAAAGTAACTAATTTACTCTCCCAGGATGCAAACAATTCAGGTAATTTATTACCCTCTTTTGTATATGCAAATCAACCTTTGAAATCACATGTTTTAAGCTGGACAAGTACAGTAGATGCAGCGGGAACAAAATGGTGACCAGGCTCTTTCAAAAACTACATTTTCCAGCAGTGCATGTGCCTGCAGTCAGAGGTCAGCCCTTTTCACAGGTGTAGGAGCTCAGCCCTTTGGCTGTAATACTGGACCTTTGTTTGAGGAGGAACTTTAAGGCAGTGGCTGCTGGGCTTCCCAAGGCAGAGTCAACTCCTGACTTCCTTCTGTGTCAGTAGAACAAGGTACGCCTTTTTGGATTATTAATGCTCTATGTGGTGTATCTCCATACAATATGTAATTAGATTCCAGAATATTTTACTTTCCTCAGGGAGAGTTGCATAAATAATTTATCTGAGCAGCAAAACTCTGTGGAAGGACAGATCTGAGAGTGGGGAGAGAAGAATATTTTATCTGTTTCTGAGTCAGATCATCTTATTTTGCAGAAATACCCCAATTACAACAGACTATATACATATGAGTGTGTGTCAGCACATTCCTGGATGGCAAAAGCCAGCGGTTCCCTCCTCTTACAAATAGGACTCGTACACCAAGCAGAGTGCATCCCACCCATGTGTACAGCCCCACCTTGGTGTTCCCCAGACCAGCTGAAGGTTTGTTCTGGCTGAAGAGGTATTAAACATGCTTATTCATCTCAAAAGTTTCCAAAAACTCCATGGAAACCTGGCTTTCATTTTTATGACTCTTGCCTGAACAGCAACTAATATAGCATAACACCAATATATTAATAATTCACCCAGTGTCAAAGTAAATGCATAAACTTATATTAGGAAAAGGTGAAAACTGCATCAATCCAGTCCTTATACATACTAGACCATACCAAGGCAGTTACTCTTGCGTTTAAAAAATGAGAATCGTTGTTCTTCAGTTAGCTTTGTGTGGCCCTGCAAGCTCTTATTACCACTGTGCCATTTGGGTTGTATTTTATTATTACCACTTCCTCAGATATGTGAGCACTTTGGGGAGCTCTTCTCCCACTGAAGCATGGAGTATTTCCTTTCTGTTCTGCTGATAACATTAATGGCAGTCAGATGCACTAAGACAAGGAAAGAGCCGTGTGTAGAACACCTCATGCTTGCACTGCCAGAGCTGCCAGGAGCGATGGCCATGGGCTAGGGACTCTTGTACAGCGTGCAAATAAGAACAAAAGAAGTTGTGCTGTAAAGAACTTGCAAGCTAAGAAAAAGCAGAGGAGAACAGGTGGGTGCAGGCAGGTAGGGGGCAGGTGGGAATAGTCTTAGGGAGTGCTGGCTTGCAGGTACATAGCAGGAGGCTGGGTGTTGTTGAATGTTCTGCAGACACCAGGGCAAAGGGAGTCCACAGGAAGAAGAGGCGCTTTGTGGGATGCTCAAGGAGCTCCTCCTGGCTGTGAGGGACAGCCTGGGGACAAGGCACAGAGGTACTTGCCTGAAAACTGAATGAGGACGTGATGGAGACTGGCAGTCTGGGTCAGGGAGACGGCGATAATGTGGGAGAGAGAGATTACAGTAGCATGGGGTTGGACTGAGATGGCAGCAGAAGTAAAGAAAAGTACTTTGTGTTTGATTTGCCAAAGGACAGAGAGTCTGTTGAGGGGTGACATGGGGCAAGCGGGGAGCTAGGAAACCATTTTGGCAGCAGCACTCTGAATACATGTCAGTTTGCATTTGTCAAGGCCAGGAAATAGAAGCCTTCTTCATGTTGACAATCGTGTTCAATTAAATTTAATGGCAACACAATTGGCTCAAGTCTGTGTTTTTTGAGACATGCTCTCAATAATACTGTCCATCCCCAAATTCACTGGTGTCTTCCAGCGATTGCCTCAGCCAGGTTGATATTTTGACCCCCTCATTTCAAAGTTTGATAGTGTTTGGGTCCAGACATTTGTTAATCAGCCATTTAGTCCCACTTGTGTAAGATCAGAAGCAGAACCAAAACTGCACAAAAATGCTGCTGCTAGCAAAAATCCTGGCAAGTTTCACAAAGTTGTATTTGCAGGAAGTTTCTTCTTTGTACTTTGTTTCATGCAATTGTGAATGAAATTAATCCTGTGGTGACATATAATTTGTCCTCATTAGCAGGAAACAGAATTTACTTATGCTCAGAAGCTATTTGTTAGTCTAACAGACCAGCTTAAAATTTCAGCAACTACTGATTGAGCATTGTTGATTTGACAGCAAAAGTAACCATAACTTACACTTAATGAATGCTTTCATGCGGCATGTGTGGTCCTCCAAGAACCCTTATTTCAAACATTTAATGCTGTACTGAACAGTTGAGTTTGATAAAGGCTGAAATTATGCTTTCATCTGAATTTTAATTTTTAAAGGGGGGAGAGCAGGTGCTATTGTTCCATAGAGAGAACAGCCCAGCATGCCCTGCCACCCTAAAATGTAACCCCAAGCAGTGTGGCGCAGGGCCAGGCTGCCTGACTCCTTCCTTCACCAGCTTCTCTCCACCTGATTTCTTTCTGTCATGTAAAAAAAATGTGTACCAGCTGTGTCCCACATCAGTCACCTGAATCTTGAGAACGAGGGATTTATTTCAAGTTACAGATAGTTATTGGCCAACGCTTCAGGTGAGACAGATCAGGGTTTTATTCTTGGTGCCAAAGCCTTCACTTCAGCGGTAGGCTTTAATTCAGAGTGGAGGGTTGCCTGATAGTCTCTACTGCCTGTGTCCTAACAGGGAGGGGCCACAGGCCTCCACGCACAGCACTCTGTTACATGTTGTCTCCAGCGTTTCCACAGGCTCATCCTAACCCTAGCTCCTGGCACTTCATGTGTGCACGTAGCTTGCTTTCAGCTTATGATTAGACATGTAGGCATTGCATAAAAGCTGAGTTATCTTAGCATTTGCCCAGGATGACTAGTGTGATGGGGGATCTCCTTGCAAATACTTTTTGTTACCTTTCCTTAAATACTTTTATTTCACCTAAATCATCTCTTGCTTTTGATGATTCCACAGCTCCTTTTGATTCAGATACAAGAGCACATTGAGCTACAGTAAGATAAATAAGGGTCTGCGCAGCTGGGGCTCTTGTTATAATAAAATTAATAATGTGTAGATATACACAACTGGTTGCTTTACAAGATGTGTGGTATAGTATTATAAAAGGGCTTGAATTAGAACTGTGTTCTGTTTGCTTGCTGAAATTACAACCTTTGGTGATGTGATACAGCCTTCTGCATTAAACGATAAGCCTATATGGAGCTACTACGTGGCAGTAACAGGAGAAGGAGCGGCACTGGAAGTTGATGTAATGTAACTGGCAATCTAGGTGGCAAGTAGGACAAGTGTGTTTACAAAACCAATTGCCTGGAGGGCTAAAGTATCAGGAGTCTTGCACTAATATTAAGAGAGGGCCTGAGCCCTAGTACTGGATGATAACACATCATGCCAGAGCTGCCTCCGGATGCACTTGTCCAGTTGGTGGTCCTCCTACTAACTATGTTGAAAGTCATATCCAGATTACTAACATAGGTCTTCAGCATTTGCGCCTGCCACATACAGAAAACATGGGAAATAGGATAATGGGATTGCGTTTCTAGATTTCTTATTTTATTTGGAGGGGAAGGGAATCTAAACAGAATATTTTGGATTTTAGAAGTCAACCGAGATACTAAATTCTAATGCAGTCTTGTACTGACTTGCAGCTCTCCGTTCTGCAGCATTACCTCATGGGGTTGGAGGGTTGATGAACCTAAGATGCATTCTTGGCTATGGATCTGTGCCTTGTCTTGACTCCATTGCCCAGATGCATGATGGTCTCCTCTCTGAGCTGTGCGATATATCATGGGAGCCCTTTAGACTAAACACCCCTCAGTTGATTTTCCCCCAGCTTCCCTCAGTCTTTTTATTCTATGAAATATAATGATATTTTTGATTTTTCTACTTGGTGCAAAAAACTCAAATATTGGCATTTCCTATGGGACAGAAATTCTGATTTATTTCTCCTCCCTTCTTTCTCTCTCCCCCCCGCCCTTGTCTCCTCCCTCCTACTACCATGTGTATAGTGTAAGCCTTGGTTGTTGGTGAAGCATCAAGTAACGTGCATTAAAACTCAGATGTGTCACTTTTTTCTGTGTTTTCTATAATTTTAAACAAGCTGTATCTGAACGTGTTTGTAAAGAGCTGGTTAGTGTTAAAGACTGACAAAGATGCACCATTTTCTAAGTGTCTCACTATACCTGCAAAAATCAGCTGATATGATGATGGAGCAGCTCTTTGCATCCAGGCTTTTAAGCTTCAGGGTGGTTGAACAACCTGTGGTATCATATGTAGGTCTAGAAAGTAGCCAGATACTGCAGGGAAGGGAGGAGACATTTATGTAAAGTGGGGGAGGTGGAACCTGAGAAAAAACACCGATATCTCAGGACTTCACGTGGATGTGGGTAAATGCTTTAGAGAACTGCCAATCTCTGTATTGTCGTCCCCACCCCCTGCCCCGGGCATCTAACTACTGGGGAGTGGGGCCATGCAGAACGCCCGGAAAACGTCCTTCTCCCCCAGTCCAAGCTACAGCTGCTGGGAGCAAAACCTTTCACAGTTCACCTGGGCCCAGGCTAAAGCAACCTTGGAAGTGAGCAAGGGCGGCACGAAGGGCTGAACTGGAGGAGCTGGCCCTCCACCTGCAACACTGCTAACCTCTGTCAGTTAGATGATCACTACTGGTCGACCAGTACTCATATGAAGTGCTCTTTTCTGCTTGTTTTACAAATAAGTGAGAATCACGGCTCAGATAGCAAGTGACTTGTCTGGGAGGTGCCAGGGGTCTAGTGTCGAAAGCAAACCAAAATTCCCTGCTGAATTTCTGCCTCTAGGGGAAAAAAAAGAAGCAAACTTGATGTTGATCCAAGAAATCATTACATGCGTTGTAGGCGTCACTTGGAGAGAGGCACTTGTGAGGTTGGTGCCTTATGGACATGAGTTAATGCTTTTGCAAAGCTCAGGAGCCAGATACAGCAGCCCCTGTGCTTCCTACAAACACAGTCTTGTTTGAGGGTCTGGGTCAGCTTCTGCTGTGCTTGCTTATATAAATTAGGGTCTTTCTCCTCAATTGATTCTCTTCATCCTGGGGAGGGGGGTACTACTTGTGCAGTAATCGAGTACCAATAAGAGAGCTGGGCCTGGAGTGCTGTGCTAGTCTGTGTGAGGGTAAGCAGGGTGTTAAATGGCAATATAACCCTCCTAGAATAGCTGATAGGATGGGGAAGTAGCAGGTAGAGGTGAGAAGGCCTTGGTGCCAGTTGTGTACCCTGGATACACAGTCTACAATCACCTGTCTGTCTGGAAGAGTTCGGTGCACCATAGCTGGTTTGTTGGGGGGCAATTCAAGTTGGGGTTGCGAGGGACAATATTTGGGCAAAGAGTGTTAAATGTACGTTATCTGTCACACGAGTAAGATGCAAAAGTGCATGTAAGTGGGGAGAAGAATGTTGTTCTGATATTCATGTCAGCCAGGTTTGGAGGGAGGTCTGAATGTGCATGCACACATACACATGTGCCAACATGTTGTACCCAGTGTTTCCATCTTCCTGTTGGCCCGCCTGGCTCCTTCCCATATCGCTCCCTTAGGAGAATCTGTGTAAACTTTCAAGGATCTGAATTAAAGATCTTTGCTACCAAATAGAGGAGGTGCAAAGAGAACGGGAGACTGCCACTTTTCCTGGCGTTCAACATCTGCCCAGGGCTCGGCTGACTTTGGGACTGCGAGCTGGGCCACAGTTCTGCACTTGCACGCGGCTGCACGTGTGCCTCCCTTCGAAAGAGTCTGACACCTGCCAATGACGGCACCTTCCCCAGCACATCTCATTGGGGCAGATGTGCTCTGGGCTGCAGCCTGCGTCCACTCACACCAGTGGGAGAATAGTCGCTGACTTGAATCGGCGTTGAACCAGGCCTGGGGAGAACAGAGTCCAGTGCCCTCCTGAAACCAGCAGTCAGTCAGGGAAGCAAAGCTTTGCTGAGAACTTTTCATCAGCAAAGATCGGCTGGGATCGTAATGAAGTCATTCCTGAGGCCTGGGAACTGTGGGCATCGTTTTCAAATCTGGGCATCCAACTTTAGGCACCAGCACAATGAGTGGCTTGACTTTTGTTTTTTTTTCCAAACTGCACTGCACAGCACAGCTGCCCTCCCCCACCCGGGAGAAGGCAATAGGAGCTCTGAGTGCTCCAGGAAAACCATTTCCATTAAGTGTAAGCCTCCATCTGGATTTGAGTGCCTGAGCTGGAAGATTTTGGCCCCAAGCGCCTCGAGAGACTGCCCAAGCAAAGAAGTAGCTGTGATTGCGAGCTGCCTGGCCCCCGCACGGCACATTCACATTCAGGCTGAAAGAATTATAGACATGAAAAGATGCATCACGGTGTCACTTCCACTCCCAGCCTGAGCGCTCTGATACCTGCCTCTGTTTCTAAGCAAAGGGAAAGGGATGTTGACAGGCATGTAAACGAAGCTGGACACGTGCTTAACAGAAAGCGACAGCAAAGTAAAACCAATGACTTTGTTTCATCAAAAGAAACAAATTCCTCATCCTTGAACAAAGCACTAGCACTTGGCAGGGCCCTTTTCACACAGGATGTTCCCTAATGGTCAATTTGCGCTTTTTTTTTTTGTTTTTTTTAAATGTGGCCTTGCAAATGCAGCAAATAAAGTCCAGCAACGCTGTAGCATTCAACTGTAGCTGAGAGCCCCACTTCTGGAGTCGACTTTCTGAATAAACAACCATTCATGCTGGCTCTGGATGGCAGCAGTGGCACAGAGAGAGAACGCTTTCCCTCCGTCAGTCACTGTGGATGCAGACTGAGGTGGAAACACTCTGGTATTTGGCACCTGTGCTTGATAAGTGATTGCAGAAATATCTGATGAAACTGCAGAGGCATCTGAAGAACTCCGTTCCACAGAGAGAATACTGTAGGCTTTAGTCTGGACATACCTCAGTAACCCTGAGCAAACATGGACTACTTCATATCCTCATCCTTGAAGATAATCCCTGGCATCTCTGCCTGCTCCAGCTTCTATTGATCTTACAGGCTTCTGCATATTTAATAGTTATGCTACCATGCTAACCTATTTTTTAAAACCTCTTTAAATTTCAAATGAGCCCGGATTTATTCTGAAGACTTCCATGAGCTGCTCTTTCACCCGCACATCTCGGAGCCAGCGAGAAGTTCTGTAATGAACATTAGACATGTTAACAAATTGTGAAGGCAAAGCAAAGATGGTTGCGTAGCCAAAACCCTAAGGCAACCTAGTTTTTAAAGACTCTTTTGTAGTAAAATAGAGTCAGCCTGATGTGGATTAAACAGGTGGCTCACACAGTGTTTTTTGGATCGATAAGCTGGAGAAAATGTCATCGTGCCAATCTGAGGCCTTGTACGTTGGGCATGGTGTTGCCATGTGGGCAACCTGGGTGGGAGTCATGGTCTTTCCTGCCTGGGGCACCGAGCATGCTGGAAAGGCTCTGGGGGAGAAGGGGTGCCAGAGCAATGCCAGGACTCAAGCTGAGAGTAGAGCAAAGCTGAAAGTGGCTCTAACAAGGCCCTGCACGCACACGCTCCATGTGCCTGACTCAGTGGATGGAGCCCTGCATGCAACACCACTAGCACCTGCCGCTCGTTAACGCCACCTGGGCCAAGGGCTCATTAACTCCACCTGGGCCAGGGGCAGTGGCAGTGGCAGTTGGGCACTGGGAGGCCCTGGGTAGAAACCTCAGACCATCTGAAGTCAGGCTGTGGGAGGCAGTTACCAACAAAGCCAGGTGAGCTGGGAACCAGGGCCTGGGAAAGGGATGTGGGGCCTGTTTCCAGCACAGGCAGCTGGGGTTAGTGCTCAGCAGTTTCCTGCACTGGTAAGTGGAGCAAGATGCTTCGTTCAGAAGAGCTGTAGAGGGACACAGTGGAAAAAAGAGCTGTTGAAATCTGATGTGACAAACTCCCTCTGAAACACTGGCTTGAGCCCAAATGTACAGAGCGCAGTGGGAGCCGTAATACCCTTTAAAAATGACCTCAAATGGTTTTCTAGATGCATTGGGAGCTTCCAGAGCCAGAGGGAAGTGCTGGCTCCTACCCCACTGGGAAGCTGAAACGCCTCAAATTGCCAAAATGAAAAAGTAAAAAGGTTGAAATGAGGAATTCAGTGACACGCCTCGATCCGGGTTGGATGACACGATGGAGTTGATGCAAAAGAGTATTTTGGAACTGGAATGCCTTCCCCCTCCCACCTCCCCTTGTCCCTGCATAGACATCACTCAGACCCTCCACCAAATCAAAGAAACATTTTGTTTTGGGCTAAGCCAGAACAAAACTATTTCTCTCTCTTTCTTGGAGCTGTTTTGCAATGTGCAGAGGACATGGGCTCTTTAAGAGGTGAGCAGCGAGTCCTGCTTTCCAGGGGAACGGGCTGCCCTGAGAGCAGCGGTCACGGCCGGCCTCGGCAAGGCTGCCTCTCCGAATCGGTGTCCAGATGCAGGTGTAATGAAGCTGACCTGGCAGCTCTTCCTGAAACCAGAGCTGTTTTCTTTTTCTTTCTTCCTCTTCTTTTTTCTATTTTTGTTTTACTTCCCTGGTATTTATCTGTGGTGCTAAACCTGTCATTGTACCTAATGGCCTGGATGAAGCCATTGGCCTCTGCATAAAAGGAAAATTAAAAACTGAGAGGCAATGAGCATTTTGAGAGACAAAATATAATGATGCGGAAAAGGGCATGAGGCATCTGAGTGCATCGCCCTGCCCCTCGCACCGCAGTGGAAGCTGCCTGGCCTGACAAACAACAGGCACGCGCAAGGATTTTATGGCCCGCAGCGGTAGCAAGGGGCTCTCACCTGGTGCGAGACAGACCTTTCCAGGGCAGCTTACAAACGAAAGAAGAGATGGAGAGGAAATGGGGGCAAGGAGGGTCAGGGAAGAAGTTGGCATCATACTCTACTGGCTGACTGGCTAGTGCCTGCCCCTGCCACTAGCTCCATGCCTTGCCAGCGTGCCCTGAAAAAGGGCAAAAGAAAAGGGAGCCAACATTTTCCCCAAAGTAACAGAAAGCCCCTTTAACCTGCAAGTTTATTATCAGTAGGAAAAGGACTCAAAGTAGACTTGGTCTCTGCACATTCAGTCTCTCTAATCAGAAGCAAGGCGCTGACTACATGAATGTTTTGCTTAAGGAGACGAGGTTTTTTGGGTATTTGTTTTGCTTAACGAATTCTGACTAACCTTGAACACTAAGATTTAACATACATTTGTGACCCCACGTTTTATCCATTCATATATCTTGTTTTGAAATATCACTCTGTGAGAGACAGTGAGCGTTTTGAGTTTTTAAAAACTTTATTATAGAAACATTAAACACAAATGGTGAAAGTGGAAAGGTATGTGGCCCTCCCAGGGGTTGTGCGGGGGGCAGAAAAGCAGTTTCCTGTGAGCTCTACCTTGATCAGATCAAAACTGATTTTCACTGCAGCACTCCACGGCACTTCTAGAGCTAGAATATGTCCCTGCCATACTCCGACTTTTCGGTGCTGGCTGTTTTCCTGCTAGCACTGTTCAAGGGGTCTTGCAAGAATTGCTCCTAAACAGACTGCAGCCCTGCAAAATTTCCATTTAGTAGGTGAAAATTCATGACCATCTGAAAACAGGAAGTTTAGGATCCCAGTCCTCCAAAAACCTTAGCTGTTTTTAGTGCTCCACCTGCCATATTTCCTATGCCAAAAGCTGCATTATTTTTTTTCATCAGTATAGAGATTTAAGCATGCAAAGATCAGGAAGTTCAATCTCCCTGATGCCCCCTTGAATGCAGTCTTTTGTTGTGCGGATTGCATGGAGGATCACAGAAGGCTGTGGAGGGGCAAACCCCACATGTAGGCTGTGGGGTGGGGAGGGAATGCCTTCGCTGCAGGTGTTGAGCCTGGGTGTTGGAGACTGCATGCGCTGTTGCTGGTGATAGAGAAAAGCTGGAAGGTGACCATGACTTGAGAGGCCACAAGGCTGGCTGAGGCCCTTTTTGAGCCCAGAGAAACTCAGGATTGGGAGATCACACAAGTAATTGAAAGCCACTGTGTGGGCACTCTGCATGAGCTGAGAGCTTGGGGCATCTTGAAGGCTCACACCCGTTGTATCACGTACCATTTCTCAGGCAATAACAGTGCAGTGAGTTAATGCTGGGGGGCATTTAGTGTTCATCACCCAAGAGTCCCAGGGAACATAATGTTTTCAATCAGCAATACAGGTATCATGAGTGGGGCAATATCACCTGCCCCACAATACCTAGTGACTGATATATATTGCTGCTAGCCCAGGCTACAGTAAATCTGCATTGGACTTAAATTGCTGTAACAAAACTGTGCAATCAACTGTATCAGGAACCTTTGGTAGATCAGTATGTTAAAGCTCTATAAATGTGGCTTATATCTAGTGAAGTCATAGCATCCCTCTCAGTGCATGCAACTACAAAGCTGTAGTTATGCTGAATGTGGTACTGAATCCAGAATGAACAGCAGTCACATAAATACCATATACATGTTCTCCATGTGCATGTATGTATGTGAGTAGTTCCTGCACGGGCCATGCTGTGGTTATATTTGGGTTTTGTGCAGGTGTTTGAGATTGCTTGGGCAGGAGGATTTACCTTATGCAATCAAGGAGGGGCATGTGCAGCTCTCCTGAACAATGCGATGGAGCATGTCTATAATTCATATATGAAACGTGGATAGAGGAGCAAGCTGCTGTATTGTATTGCCTATTATACCACCAGTGTAAGACCTGGAGGCTTCTCAGTATTGTTTCCTTTCTGAAATTTCATTATTTCCTGCCCCATAAATTACCTAAAATAATACTGGGGAATATTTTGACGGACTCTAATGTAGAGATTGAAGTCGAGTAATGTGTTATGAACTCATCATCATTGGCAGTCAGGCTGAATTGTTTATCAGGCGCATTTGTAATCCTGTGCTCATGACATTTTTTCATTACTGACTTGAGCTTTTTGAGAGAGTGCGAGCCCAGTGATTAATCATTATTATGGAGAAATTAGACGCATTGCACGCCACTCACTCTCCTGATGTCCCACAATCAGCTGAGAGTGATACAGACTGTGGGAGAAATTTTGGCTCCCTTGAAGCCAGTGGAGCAGACTCCTGTCTTCTGTGGATTGGGCATACACAGATCAATGGGTTAAGCTTGCTCGCCCCAAACTCCTGCTTGCTTAGATAGGAGAATAGTGTGAGCACAAAGCTGGATGTGCAGGGATATATGCTGGCTCTTCTCACCTAGTGGGATGCATTCACTTCCTCAGCTAAAGATTGTGCATGAGCTGAAAATATTTGGCATATTGCAGCCCCAGAACATGGCGTGAAGTATAAAAGCAGTCTCAAGGGATATCGGGAGTTGGGCCCAAATGTGCACAAGTGACTGCTAACCTCTGAGTGGCAGGGCCTGCAGTAGGGGATGACGGCAATTGGGGCAAATGGTAAGTCCCGTGAATGGATCTGGTAGGCGTATGAAATCGGATTGTCTGGGTCATTAAACAGAGAAGTTCCCCAAATTCTTCTGGCAAGTGGCTTGGCTCTGAGGCAATTAATCCAATGAGGTGGTCAAGGATCTAAGCTAAAATCACGCCCTTCCCAGCTAGGACAAGCGGTGAGTGAATGGCTTATGATTGGCAGGATTTGCAGTGAAAGGCGATGGGCCCCCTGGCCAGAGGCCTGCCATGGAAGCAATTAATCAAACAAGCTGGGCAAGGCTATGTGACGGCATCTGTCACAGATAGCACCGCACACGTACATGCAATTAATGACTGTGAGCAGAAGGGACAGTTGAATGCAAAGTCTACTAGAGAGCCCCTAATTCTGGCTGGTGACTTCCTGCCTTGGTCACAAAAGACACAGGGGATTTTTAATGCAGGAGTGTCTGGGCAGATCCATATACAATGACTTTTGTGCAAAACCCCCCACAAAAAACCTAGGAAATGATTTTTAGTGTCCTAGCATTCTTGAGGTCTTTGCAGCCTCTATACTCTCAATCACTCTCTTTCTCTCTCTGGTGCTTTCAAGTACTTGTAGCCCAAATTAAATTGAGAGAAACCTCAATGATTCAAAACTCACTAAATATGTATTGCACTCACAAATATTTATCCTATCGGGCTCCAAATAACACGATATACGAGAATCTGCACCTGGACACTCCCCCATTGACAGCAGATGTAATTTTACTGTGGTCCAAAATGCAACATATTTGTACAATCCAAATGAGTATTGATCTGAAACCAGTCTCCACCAAATTTATGCCAGGCAGCACATAGCACAGGAAACATGAATTTTGAAGAGTGATCTCAAGACCAAGAGGCTTCCATGATTGCAGCAATGAATTTCCTCTTTGCAGACCTACCTGACTCATTAGGTTGTTTTTCTGGGAAGTCTTTTCCCCTTGCGAGGCACTTGGCTTAAAACTGGCTGGTCTTTAAGGTGAAAAGTGCGAAGTGAAAAGTCACTGTAAAATGAAAAATAGTGTCTTCAAAAAGAAAACCAAGCAAAATAATTCAATTTCCTGAGGCATTTAAGTTTGTAAATATTAACAGTTACTCAAATTACAAAGTTCTCTTTTTGGCTTAGAAACCATACAAGAATGGTTTTAGCATGGACTTGTGGATACCCTGGGCCCAGCTGGCTTTTTTTGGCCCACAGACATTAGAGAGAAGCCATCCAAGCTGCCTGCCAAGCTGATTTGTTCCTCGTGGAGTTCATTTTTGCTCTGTCCAAGTGTCTCGACAGGACTC